AAAAAATAACAATTAGTATTACTTAACGGTTTAAACGAATTTTAATATGTAAGGTTATATGGTAGCACCCAATGGAAGTATACGGTAGCATCTGAATCGAGCTTAATAGGGAACCTAGTTAACCTTTTTGATAGCAATTAATACCTATCATTACCACTCAATGAGGTATACTTTTTTCAGATAATAAACCGGCAATATGCCAATCACTCGAAACAGTAGAAAACGGTTACATTTATTATAATTTGAAGGATGGTGAAAAGCATTTGGGTAGCACAGCCCATCTATTATGTAAGCCTGAATTTGTTCCTGTCGGTTACAATGTTAGCACATGCTGCTATGATGGAATTTGGCGACCCGAGCTTGGTTACTTTAATTCATTTCATTTCAATTACTAAATTCCACTCTTTGTTGGCATAATTTCGTTTTTTGTTTTTTAAATTTATATTTTACAACCAAAATTGTTTATGTTATTGCATAGTTATCGTTCTATGATCACACAAAAACTGTTTATGTAAGCTTAAATAACTGTAAAGTCGAAAATTGTCAATCACTTCTCCAACATTTTATTTGCTATTAATTTCAGGTTCGTGCAAATTGATGCAAGAACATAAATTTTTCTGTAAGCCATATGCTTCAACAAGAATACCAGAACTTGAATACAATCCAGTAAGTCTTCCTTACTCTTCTGTCATCGCTATTTCAATCCATTTTCGATAGACATGGGGTGGTCAGAAAGTCTCGAGGAACTGTTTTGCTGTCCTATGATTGGAGTTTGCTGTCCTATGCGGGAAAGGGCCAAATTGACAATGACTGCCAATCATTCATAGTTAATTTAAACTTTAAACACTTTCATCTGTTTTATCTTCTGAGAAAGTTTTATCTGAAGATGTGAGATTTTCAGCCGCTACGGGTGATAGCGCTTGATTCCACAGTAACCCTGAAATGTGCAATTGGTCAGCGACTTCAGGGCAATGGGAAGTCTAAATGTGTGGACGGCTTATGGACACCAACCTTGGGCACTTGCGTTGACGAAGATAAGATAGATAATGATTGAAATTATCAGTTCGTCTCAACTAATTGATTGAAAATATTTTAATTCCAAATTTTGGGCGAATACATTTTGTGAAAACTCGAAATGTTTTCAGCAATTAAATAAGACAACGATATCGTCCCTTCGTGTGGTTCTCTTAACTGTTATTGATTGATTTGTTAATAAAGCTATCATAAATTATTGATCGAAACTTTTCCACATTAAATAATCTTAATGTATACAAGAAATGATTAAATGTATTAAATTCTTTGATCGATAAAAATCTTT